AGCCCGTATTCTTACACTCACACTGATTCAATTTTCTGATCGGTTCGGTAGGCTTTCCGATCCGACAATCGGAACTGAACTTTCTAGTTAGGCCCTACGTTTCGACTGATAGCTTCGGTAGCCTTGTCTACGCAATTGACGTCTTGTTTTCATGATGTAATTCATGCTTCGGTGATTTTTAAAGAAATTCTTACGTCACCCTTCCGCTTGTGTTCCTTGTACTACAGTAGCATAGCATTATTGCTTCTTGCATTGGTAGATAAATGGCTGAGTTCATGTCCTCCTTCATCCCGGTCAGCGGCATATAATCTAATCCTGAAGGTCTCACACCTTTAGGTCAAAGGGCCGCCCATCTACCTGATGTTCAAGTATGCCTTATTAACTGTACTCACCGGTTTTAGGCCGCGTGACTAGTATAGGTTTAAATCGGTTTTTATGCTAATAATTAGACCGTAGAACCCCTTCCACGGCTTAGATTCTGACGTGACCGGTAAACCTTAGTGGCCTTAATTTGTTGTTTGGTGTTATGAATGGTTGATGTGCTGTTCCAAATTAATGATAATGATAGAGCAACATTAAACTTTACTTTTCACTTTATCAGCTGCTGTGATTTCAACGAAGCATGAATAACGTAACGAAATGAAGGCGCATTTGCGTACAGACCGAAGTTCAGTAAGCTGGTAAGTCTCGTTTACTTTTGAAGAAATGCGTATCTATGTAATGTATGTATAGGCTATGTGTTGATGCCAAATGATATCTTTCCGAGTTTAATATTTATATGTTTTACTCTTGTAATTTGTAATTGCATGGTTCCTATTTAGGTTTGTTCTTTTTTTATTTCTGACAAAAATATTTAAAAAATGATAGGCCTGTGATATATATATAAAAAAAAAAATAACAGTATATTGGGGAAAAACATCTTTCTTCGTTTTTCGTTTTTTCCGTCTAGTTAGGCACACACTGCGATTCTGTTGGCCGACGGAATTTTATGGATGCGACAGGCGCGTGCGACGGCAAGTGATGACAGAGATGGTTACGTCGGCTGTCACAGTGTGTGCATGCATTTTAGTGATGATTGTTTTAAGGTGTTTGTTGTCACCTGAGGACATCAGTGCTGTACATGTCAACATTATTATCGTTTCTAATATCGCAGTGCAACAGACGTTGGGATTTCATAAGGAAATTGTTATGGTTGGAAAAAGATCGTATCATAACTAATGAATTTTATGATAATTTCTCCCAAAATTTATATCCCTATAATAATGGATCTTTCCGGAGTGTCAATCAAACCAAAGAGTATAAATAGAACAAGAGAGCAAAGTCCAGTTCGTAAAAACGTCATGCCTGTGTAGGACGCCAACTAACGGTTGTATATTCTTTTTATTACCCAGTGCAGGGCTGCGCAGCGCGGTAGAAGTACGCCCGCTATAAACTCCTGTCTCTTATACACATCTAGATGTGTATAAGAGACAGGTGCAGTACTGGGTAATAAAACATATACAAGCGTTAGTTGGCGTCCTACACTAGCTGCGTAGAGCGTATCGTTTTTTTACGCTCCCAATGAGCGTTGTTGGCTCTCTTGTTCTATTTATACTCTTTGATCAAACATAACTACTGACCTATCAGAACAAGGCCAGGATTACGTGCTCGACCCACATATTACAAAAAACCTGTTCACGGTTGTTTATGCTGTCGTTTTGTGAGACCTATAGCATCAATATCAAAGAGGTGGGACTCAGCGGAACAGCAGGGGCGGCCCCCGGCCCCGCCCCCCCTCTTTTTGGGAGTAAAAAAAAGATAAAAAGAAAGAAAAGAAAAAAATGATAGCGTACAACGCCTCAAATGTTATTTTCCGGCGTCTAGAACACAAAAATTTCGCGGGGACATGCGCGGACCCCCTAGGACATTGTTGTTTCGATCGGCCCAAATTTCGCCCCCCCCCCCCCCAAATTTCGCCCCCCCCCCCTTTTGGACATCTCTGGATCCGCCCCTGAACAGTTCGTGTTGACAGTGATTGCAGAACTAGAAAGATGCGTGAAAGGTTTACTTATATTGACGAAATAATGTTGTGAATCACCATGCGGTAATTCGAATTTCACACATTGCATTTAACTCCTGACTTACACATGAAACTCATCATATACTGGATTTTCATTTTCCACATCTTCATTCCTTGTTTGTGATCTATGTTTTTTTTTCTTTACAATTGGTAACTTCCAAATTCTTTTGAACTTGTTTCGATTTCGCGATATTGAAGTTACGAAAATATCCAACTCTGTGTAAAGGCCTTATAATATTATTCCGTGCGTCATAAAAATGTTTACATAAACGGCGATTGATTTCGAATCGAGAGCGGGCCAAGTTAGACGCTGACGCTTCAAGGGAAATTCATTTAATTTTATAGACATGACTCAGAGATAGATATATAAATTCAACATTTATTTTAACGATTGAGCCAGACATTGATGGCATGTTGACAGTTAGATCATTCTTTATCCTTCAATCGCTATACTTTTGTTTTCCTTATCTTTTGTGTCTGAAACATTATATAAACATACTTATATCTGTCTATAACTTGCATTAGTTGAATATAAAACAATTCGCTTGTGATGACATAAGTTTCTCTTCTCCCAATGACAAGTACTCTAAAGTTACTCTCTGTTGTTATTTCATAATGTTGGCGATATAGAAGCTCTTGAAACACTGGCTTTTAATAATTTAATGTTATAATATAATATTATTAGGACATAACAAGAGTAAATTTTAAGGAATTTACCTTGTATTCATAATTAATTTTGATAAATAATTGCCATTTATATAACACCTTTTCATCGTGTTTACACAGCGTTTTATCACAACACAAGAGTACTCCCATAGGCATGTTTATATCAAAATACGAAAAACCCCCTAGTAGTGAGGTCTACCTAATATTTCTCAATCAATATAAGGGATTTCTTGAAGATTAGATTGTTGATAGGCAATTAAACTCAAGTGTGGGTTGTGTAATTAGATTAGATGCTATAATTAGAAACGGCTTTAAATTTAGCATTTTTATTATATCAGAATAATTTCATATTAGTGATCAGGGTTGAGAAAGACGGTCAGAGTGACTCAACTAACGTCACGTGTAAGGTGTCTGGCCACAGGCCCACATCTTTTGTAAATTATCGCGCAAAATTAAGTCCAGTATTTCATCATATCTCTTCTATAGTACACTCTATTATTTTACATTTTCATTTGTCTTCTTTGTGAGTGTAGAGAACATTTGTTTACAATCTTATATAAATGTATATAGTTTCTAAATTATCGCGTAAAATGTTCATCATATCCCTCGGTAGTATACATTCTTTTGCGTTTTAAATTGATCTTCTATGTGAGTGTTAGAAGAGAAAATTTTTATTTAGAAGTCACATGAATGTGTATAAGTAGCTTAGCCAATTAATTATGTCGTTTTCACCGATGAAAGAAAGGATTAATCAGGCTTCTTAATCAATTTGTTGATGGTTTTTATTGACTAAACACATTTTGTTTAACTATAGGGTTTTTTTCTCATTAGTATACATTTGAACATTTTCACGTTTCCTTTAAACTGTTTTAAATCTTACCTGTACAATTATCGAAGGGAACTTAAAAGTAAACAAAGAACAATTAGGCAATTATGTGGATAGATAAAAACATGGATATGATTGGCATAATGTAAAAATAATAAAATGACACGCTCAAGAGAATGTGTCTTCATATCTATGGCAATTTCCCCGTAATTGGATGAGAGAGTTTTCTTGATCCTTTTGTCACAGATGCTACCATTTTAAAGAGTATTATTCAAACTCGCCATTATACGTAGGCCTATGGAGCTGTGGTACGATGGTTAAAATGCTCGCTTTTCAAATTCAGGGTCATGGGCTCAAATCTAGGCAAAACAGGGTTGTTCACAACCACGATCAACTCTACTACACAAACCTTATACACAGTCTTGGTTATATGACCTTCGAGGCTATAGATAAATCATCATCTTTTGATAGATTTAAATACCATACAACAACTATGGTTCTTTCTGTCTTACCTGTAGTACATTCGACTTTCCTAATGCTTTCAAATCTTCTAACTTCTTTAAATTCGCAGTAGTTGTCATATATCATATTATTACTGGCACAGACATTTCGTATTCTTTCACAGCGTCTTCGGGTAAAGTATACAGCTCTGGGTTCTTCTTCGCTTAGGCTATTTTGCAAGAGCTGGCCTCCTCTTTGCAAATTTGCAAGATTTTGTTCTAAGAAAAGATACACAATATCATTTGTATAATTACGTTTCAATTGATTTAGTGTTTTTCTTTCGTTTATTATTTTGATGAATGGTAAAAAATATAAGTCTGATTGTATGGAAATAAATGAAAAGGTAACTTGCAAAACATGTTTATAAAGATTTTCAGTCGATTATAAGTGGCCTGGGATACGCATCAGTATTTACAGTTTGCTCGAATCGGCCGAGTGGGGTATTTTAATGAAGAACATGTAAAACAACACAATACGTCTTTAATTAACACGTGAAAAACACCGAAGTGGAGGTGGGGGTCCCCAGAACCCCACTGGGCTGTTCACCTAGACCCAGTCCCATGGTAGTACGGCCCGAACAAACCTTAGGAAGGGACTCCAGCCTCTTCATTATGCCACGGTCTTGGGAGTAGCAAAAAACAGAAAAGCCCGTTGCCATAGTGACTCCCCAAGTAAGGAAGAGATATTTTATGTAGATTCAGTAGGTGTACAGTCAAGCAAATTTTTAAAAAAAAGAAAGAAATCAACGAATAATTAACTAATTGGACATGCGCAACTCGCCAGATAAACGATACAAAAGTTATATTTATCTTCCAAATTTCAATGTGAATTATATTATTTCTTACCTTTATATCTTACATAGACCTCCTGCGAGCTATCTGCGTCGATAGACAGCCAACATAATGTCATAGTAGCGAGTATATATAGCCACCCCATCTTCGTTTCTGGAAGCTATTGTTTATAACAATGTAATGATGGTTATTGAAGACGATATTCTTACTGTTCACACTTGTAAAATACTGTATCATTTTGTTTGTTGTGTTGACGCCGTTCTGGAAACGTTGAGAAGTCTAGCTGACTTGGTGAGTCACAGTCTGGGCACCGAGCCAGTGGTTTCCTGTAAGCGATGCACTTGCTCAGAATCCTGGCAATCAACGTGCTTTAGTCATTATGGAAATCATGGGGGCTTTGCCAATTTGACTGTATGCCTAGGCATATACCACGTTCAGAAAGAAGCAAAATCTTCAATTTTAAATCAGTATAGGACTATATTGCCCTGTGATTGCTTTTGCTTACTAAACGTTATTTCCATCATCAGTCTCATGTTTGTTTAGTTACCCGTCGGACTGCCAGTTTAGGACTAGACTTATGAATATTATGTACCGTTTCAGCTCAAATCAAATACACAGGCAGTATTTATTAGAATAAACTGCCCGCTTTGAATAAACACCTCCCTCGAATAAACGCCCCTATTTCCAGACCCTCATTTGAAATAAACGCTTTCCTTTTTTTTCTAAACTGGTTGGTATCATTTACAATAGTCTTTATGATCACCCAATTAACACATTTTGGCAGTAATTATGTGTTCTAGTAGTTCCACATTTACAGTAAAATTAAGGGTTTACACCATTTCGTTTATTCGAAATCGGTCTATTTGTTTATAAATCGGTTCAATATAAGAGTGGAGCTTTTGATTGTGATAACATATACTCGTTTCAAATAATATGGAAATTACATAAATGCCTGAATTTCTCTTACAATAAAAAACAACTCCACACTTTTTTTAAGCTGTTTTGATGGTTGTATTGGTTATGAATATCAGTGCATCAGTTCCGCTTTGAATTATGTACTTCGTTTTCTTAGGAAACTATATTCATACATATTTTTGAAAGCATGACGAATAAAATAATTCCTACTTTTATTATCCTTTTTAATTACTTGGAAATTTGACGTAATTTTCTTTTAAATTTAAAGAAAATTATATTTTGTATTGAATTTTAAAAGAAAGGTTGAAACACGCAATAGGATATTAGTCGTTCGAGGAACTTAATGTTTTCCATCATTGCGTGGGTTTCATGTAATTATTTGGCAGATGGGTAGATATCAAATTTGGTTAAAACTGGTGGAAACGTGTGGGCTGAACCATGGTCGTTGTATTCCATTAAGCGACCTTCCTGTTAAATCAATGGCTATTTAGGATTATATCGAAATGGTGGCGGAATTATGGAGGAACGAAGGAGAAGTGGGAGGGCTCGATGACAGAGCGCTAGCTAGCTGTGTTGAACTGAGATTAGGCCTATAGCGCATTACGGTCCGGTTGTCTAGTTCCGTGAAAGTAGGTCAGCGGTGTTTAAGTTCGTTCGGAAAAGGAGCAGGATTGTCTCTCATAGTACTGCCCAATCAGTGGGGAATGTAGGAGTCTTATAATCGGGGAAGTGACTATAGGTTGGGGTGGGGTGGGGGGTGGTGGGGCTCTGATAAATAATTGATGAGGCGCTAGCCGAAAACTAAGGTGGTGATAAGAGGTGATTTTAACAATTGAGCGTGGTTTTTTTTTTTTGCTTCGGACATTTTCAATGGGGGAGGGGGAAAATTTGGCGCGAGCTTTTTTGGGATAGGAGTTCCGCCTTACTCCCCCCCCCCCACTCAAACCCCTCTTCAGACACGCCACTGCAGGGTGGCTGTGCACCCAAGCTTTCTCAGTCCAGGACCAAATGCGATACGTAAACTCTACTTAACTTTTCTGCTAACCCATATATCTCAATCAGAATGGACCTGGTTTTTGAATTTCTAGAATTATCCAGTTTGTTTGCGTGAATAGCCCTATAATGTTACTGATGTATCTGCCAAAAAATGAGTTCCCAAAGACGCGACTAAAATATTAATTGTATAAAATACTTTTGTGTAGACTATTCTCATAGGTGTACTTATTCCCTAAACCAATCAAATCGAGATCAATGCACTGTATCCTCTGTCTGCTTACATCTATAATTTGTATCAAAGCCAACTCGCATGCAGCAATTTGGTTTTTTTTTTATTGAAAACTATTTTATTAAATTATTTTTTAAATTTGAAGGTTTGTCTACAATACATTTTTCTTTTCGAGAACTCGTATAATGCACTTAACATTTTATCTTTGTATTGTGACTCATTCCAGTTAATTTTGTTGATTATGATATTTTGTTTCGATACGGATTGAAAAGTACTTTGATGACACTTTTTAGTAATTTTGTTTCACAATCTCTTGCACATGCGTTGTAGAACAACTCTAGATCTTAATGCAACGGGAAATATAATACGCCCTCGTTGTGGGAATTCTAAACGACAACACAGGATCTCGAAAAGATATTGTATAAAGGCAT